GGGACGGATTGGCAGCAAATTGTGACAATTTGGTCACAGCAAATGCAATGTCAGGACGTGTGCCTAGCATGATGAAGAGAAGAGATCCAATGACTGATTGGAATTTCTTCCTGAGCTCTGGATCGACTTCATCCTCATTTGGCATTGGAACATATCCAGCCGGTAGAGGGGTCGCTGCGAACTTGGCGTTCTGCATCCCAAAGCGCTCTAGCACCTTGTCGAGATAAGGAATCTGATCAATCTTGATCGAAGATCCTACTCTACTGAGGCGCACGCGCAAGAACTCTGGAGTATCTTCAGAATTGCGGCATTCCCATCGCTTGTTGAACTCAGCCTTGAGAAGGGCGAGGAGCTTCTTGTTCTTGGAGAAGAACAGTGCATCATCCACGTAGACTATTATGACGGCTATGCTGCCATCAGAGTCCTTGTAGAAGAACACGCCGGCATCCGATGTTAGTCGGATCCAGCCCATGGCTTTCGTGGACTTGGTCAGCGCTTTCCACCATGCTAAAGCAGCTTGTTTGAGTCCATAGATTGCCTTGTGCAAGCGCATGACTTTGCGCTCTTGGCCTCTCGCCACAAAGCCTTCGGGTTGTTCCATGTAGACCTCTTCGTCAAGTTCTCCGTAGAGAAAAGCCTTACTGACGTCGAGTCCAGACCAATGCCAATCATTGAGCGCTGCAAGCGCCATGACCAACCGGAACGTCTCATACCTGACAACAGGAGAGAATATCTCGTCATAGTCAACTCCTTCGACTTGACTGAAACCCTTGGCAACTAGGCGGGCACGTTTTCGGCCATCAGATTTTTGGTCAAAGACCCAGCGACATCTGATAACCTTCCGTCCTTTCGGGCGGTCCACAAGGGAATAGACCTTGCGCTGACGAAGTGCCTCTAACTCGTCGCGGCAAGCATCAATCCAACCTTTCTGTTGTTCAGAAGGCAACCGCTTGATATCGCGGAACGTCCAATCGCAAATTTTGGACGTATCAGGTAGGTTCTCATTTGGAACCGCTTTTGACAGCAGCGCCGTGATGAGCTCTACTCCCCCTTCCCGGCATAGCTTCTCCATGCGTGCATCCTCGTCTAGATCATCAGAAGCACCCGCGTTTGAGGAATCTGGTTGCGAGCTAGGGCCGGGAACCCCTGCATCAGCACCGGTTGATGGTTGAGATTGGGAGCTACCCTTATCTTCACCAACATACCGCTTCCATCCTCTGCTGTTCTGAATGTCACGGACTATATCCGTAGGGGTACGCTTTTCCCCATAGACGTTTCCTGGACGTGTAGGCACATTCCGCTGGCGTGAAGACCTTCGAGGCTCAGGAGCTGGTGAAGCTTCCCGACTTGGTCATGGAATTCTACTTCTACGAGTCCTCTGAGGTTCATCCCGACGCTCTGGCGGTGGGTCCTGACGATTATGACCGTCGTCACCATCATCATTTCCCTGTACGGGAGGTGGTGGAGCCGGATCAGATGGCATGGGAAATGGAAAAGGATTATCTCCATATAGCCAATCTTCTCCGTCTACCTGTGGTGGATCTTGTGGATTCACTGGGTCATCACGTTCTGGAAATTCCTCTCCAACAGGAACGTGGGGTGGTCGATTGCTGTCAGGACAGCGGGGGAACAACTCCTCGTTGAACAATGCCTTGGTGGCGACGAACGTGGAATTGTTTGTGCGCATGAACAAAAATCCTTTCACACCATCAGGAATGCCCAAGTAGGTCATCAGCTCCGATTTGGGCGATAACTTGTTGGCGCGCTTCTCATCAGGGATAAAGACATATGCAGCGCAACCAAAGACTCGGAGTTCGGAAACATCCGGTTTTTCCTTGTGAAGAGCTTCAAATGGAGTTTTCCATTTTAGACGCCTGATAGGTGTCATATTGTAGATCCGTGTCGCATGTTTGATAGCGAATTCCCAATAAGAATTAAGAAGACAGGCAGTGAAGCGCATGGCTTCTGCCTTATCCATGATCGTACGATTGAAGCGCTCGGCATGCCCATTCTGCTGGTGAGCATATGGAGCACCCTTCTCCACTAGAATTCCTTGTTTCGCGAGAAATTCTTCCATTCCCATCCCCATGAATTCTCCCCCATTGTCAATATGCCACTTTTTGATGGTGACATTGAACTGGTTCTTGACCATCGCAATGAAATTGCGCATAGCCTGCTTGGCATCGGATTTCTGCGCAAGGCATACTGTCCAGCCATAGGAGAGTGCTTCGTCGAAGAAGCTCATGAAGTAGCGGTACTTGTGATAAGACACCATGGGAAATTGTTTGAGATCCGAGTGGATCAAATCAAACAGATTCTCCGCTCGTTTTTCGGAAGGCGGGAAGGCACGTTGGTGCATTTTCCCTTGCGCGCATCCTTTACACGGTCGGGTTTCCTCGGGAAATACTAGGTCTTCTGGAAAGCCCTTGGTATTCTTCTTTGCCTGACGTAAAACGTCTTTCGACGGATGTGCAAATCGCCGGTGCATGATCTCATAATCCACCTTGTAAACAGTGGACATGGATCGCACTGTCTCAGCCGTGCTAGGCTTTGACATCAGGAAGTACAAGGCAATGTCCTTCCCTAGAGTTCTAAACTCCATGATCGAGAGTGGGGACTTCCCTCGATGTAAGCTGATCCGCGATTCGTCTCCATGAACGTGAGATCCTCCTTTGAGTAAGGAGCCCAAAGACATGAGACGACCATGTAATCCTGGCACTAAGTACACTGGATATATCTGAGAAGTCACCATTGTCTTTTCTCCATGCCTTGTGACGTAATGATCGATGAAGGCTGTTCCTCGACCAATAAAGGCAACACGTGTGTTCTTATCAGCGGTCTGAGCAACAATAGGATCTGAGAGTTTCTCATATCCGACCAGATCACTAATCTCCGATGTCACATGGAGAGATGCACCTGAATCAAGAAGCCATAGAGGCCCTAATTCATGATGATGATGATGTTTCCCCTTACACTTAGAGCAGGCAGCAAAATCGGAGTGCACACAGAATAGATTGGTACAAAAATCATGCGAACGAATCATCAACGAATTAAGTACAGAACCCGGGGCAGCGGTGATTACGCGCTCTGGCTGTGAGCAACAATCAGAATTGTGCATGTGCCCAAGAAGGCAGGGTACTTGCCTTTCGGCGGAAGGAGCGTCCATCTCCTCCAGAAGGGTGTTGAAGTCGACGACTTCATCCCAATTGACCGGTTCAGCCTGGGCAAACTCGCTATCTCCAAATAGAAGATCAAGATCGTTCTGTTGGCTGGTGGCCATCTCGACGTCGGGGATCTCCTCGATACGACTGCGTTTGGCAGGAGGACCACCATCCAGGGTGTGATTCGAGCCAGAAGCAACCGGAGATGGAGAACGCATGATTGCGTCCTCGCGGAGCATTCCTTTCTCATTGACGATCTTGTCGAGAGTCCGGAAGCGTTCTGTGGTCACCGTCACATCCATCTTTTTGGCCAGCTCGAAGACCTTACGAGTAGGCTTCTGGAACTCGGTGTCAATCATCCCATTGTTGTTAACGGGAGACTTCTCTTGAACCGCGCGGATTTTGGGTCCATCGCGAGAGATGTGCGTGACATGCAAGATAGTCGGCGCAGGGATAGACGGAGTGAGCGAGGCAATCGAACCAATAGTGAGGGAGCCAGTGATCTCGGAGACTCCATGGACATGACTGTGATCAGCCTTGCCCTTGCCCTTGTTGTCCTTGTTCTTCCCACTGCGCTTGCCTCGACGGTTCTTCTTCTTTCCATCAGCCTTATCACCCTTATCGGGTGCAGAGCCAGAGCCCTGTTGCTGATTGGTGAACGAAGGATCATCGCGCTTGCGCTTGGTATTGAACTTGGCCACATGATTCTGGCTTTGAGACTGCTTCTGAGCGAAATGCGTCAAGAGAGCGTCACGAACCGCCGAGACTTTGATCTCGTCCTTTTCATAGGTCTGGAGAACAGTCTCTGTGACGGAGGGAATCCGGGCTATGTTGAGAATGATCATCGCTCTGAGGAACTCAGGGATGCTCAAAGACTCATTCTCCAGGCGAGCGAACGCCGTAGTGATCACCAGCAGCTGTGGATCCGGGTGCAACCCCACGTTGTACTTGGCGTTCAACGCGGTTTGGAAGTACGCATATAGGTCGGCGCACTGAGCACCACCGTATTGGGTCTTCAGATGCGCCCAGATCTTGGCAGCTGACACTATATCCGCAGGAGGAATGTTAGCAATGACTCCCTCAGTCAGGCGCAACTTAATGCTGCCTTTGGCTCTGAGATCATCATGCTTCCATTGTTTGATCTCCGATGCGTTGGTCACGGAGCCATCGGTAGCTTTGACTTCAGTCGGCGCCGTTTCGGTCAGCACATATGAGATCCCCTGATGTTCCAGGTAGGACTCCATAGTTCCGGACCATACAAGCCAGTGCTTTCCATCAAAGATGGAGACAGCATTGAAGATGTTGTTGGAGTTGGACGACATATTGATCTGTGTGAGTTAATCAGCATCAATCTAATCTGATAGATAAAATCAAAGATCAAGATGATCAGATTCTCATAGATCATAATCTCCTTGAGAGATCGATGCATCTGGATCAAGCGATGTAATCGCGATCCGGCATGGTTTCACCAGCGCTGTGCAGCAGCTGAAGTGAATACAGATAGGCTAAAGACGCTGCTCATCGTTGCAGCCAGTGACGGCGCATACAATGAATGTCGCAGCCATTGAGGCGCAGACATAGCTCTCGGGGCCCATAACCTGTTGAGCACTGGGGAGAGCGTCTAGCAGCTCACCTGTGTGAGTGAGAGCTTAGTGTGGGCACTATGCGGGAGTAGTCAAGAGACTTGGATTATAGGGTAATAGAGCCCTCCTTATATACAATACAGGGGGCTATTTGTGTCTATTTAGGACGAGTCGACATGACTCTAGATGACACGTGATGGAGTCATAAGATGTGTATCACGACATCCATCTGGCAGATGATAAGATCATCATTTGATCAACAGCGGGAGCCCATATAATACTGATGGGTTTCTAATCGCGCCAAGGCGTGGTCTTGCTCGTTCTCCTCGACGAATCGGAGCTTGAACTCGGTGACGAACAAAGCCCAAGTGGGGAACGGGAACGGGGTGCGCTCAGACATGCGCTCGGACCAGGAGGCTGCCGAGTCCTTGGACATGTAGGAGAGGGCGAAGCGGACTACCTTCTCCTCAGCGACCACCCCATTCACGAAGAACGCCTCGGGAAGCAGTCGCCAGTACTGCTTCACCGAGTGCAAGAAGCTCTTGCCCAAGGTGCGATCCCCCTCATCCGTCCCAAGTGTTGGGGATTCTCCTTGCCAGGCGCCACTATTTATATGATACAAGAACAATAGAGCGCGCAGCAACAAACAAAGAACAATGGGAACAATAAGTACAATGGCCATTGGAGAACAATAGGAAACCGAGACAGTGGGAACGATGGGACAGCTGACCATGTGCCCATCAGAGAGAAGCGCTTGGCACGGCAGTCCGGGCCGCGGCGCGTGACAGCTGACAGGTCACGCGAGCGCGATCACATGCCTGATCGAAGGCAGAGCGGTCCGAAGCGGGGGTTCCCCTGACACCTGAGCACTTGTAGCTACTGTGATTTGAGTTTGAGTTGAGATATCAGAAAGTCGGATTCGCCGCATCTGGTATTGTCGCGGCATTTAGTGTCGTCGCCCTTTTGGGCTTTTGTTGAGATCGTTCCACACCTCTAGCTTGGCAGTGCGTCGACTAGTTGTGCTCGGGTTGTTTTGGTCAGTTGGCAGTGCGTCGACTTGAGAACTTTGGTTCCACACTTCTTGCTTGGCAGTGCGTCGACAAGTTGTGCTCGGGTTTTGGACATTGGATATTGGCTGTTAGTTGGCAGTGCGTCGACGCGGCATTTTGGTTTACTAGTTGGCAGTGCGTCGACTCAGTATACTTGGGCTTTGCGTCACCATCTGGACGCTGTCGCTACAAGGGATCTTAATACTCCGTATTAAGCTCTGACTTGTTATATTGTTGGCTGTGATTGGATTAGTGTTGGTTGTGTTCGTATAGAAGATATTGGTTGAGACACCATTGTTTACTATATATAAATTCTTGTCGTCGACTTCGTCTTCCGCGACTATTGATCTGCGTCTATTGAGAGTTGTGATACTGGTGTTCTGTCCACCCCAAAGCCCTCGCATCTTTCACACACTGAGAAGCTGATTACGAGGAGTGTGAACGTGTTTATATTTGGGTTTACTTTCATAGTAGATTCACCTGTGAGCACGCCCTCAGCATTTCACCGGGCCTGAGGGTCATGTGAACGTGCTTGGCAAGGAAGTCTGGACTGAAGCACGTGACGCCTGACAGATGGCACGTGCGCGGTCACATGCAAGATCCCATGATGATTGGGCAAAAGCAGGGGTTCCCCTGACAGTTCTTGCACAGGTCACAGCTGTTCAAAGCTGTACCAGCTAGCTACACAGCACACTCTGGAAGACTTCACCACAACCCATGACCAGTGTTCTATACAGCACACAGTCTTATAACTCATTAGTTGTAGATATGACTTGGACTAGAACTAGGTATAAATGCAGTAGCCACTTGTCATGTATTCTCTAGTCTTGGAATTAACTTTTCTTTCCAATTCTTATTTCTTGGATTGATTTTCACTTAGCACTTGAAAAGGATGCCAAAAAGTACATATGAGTCAAACATACTAACATACACATGCATTTCATTTTTTAAGTAAGTAGCAGCAAGAACAAGAACAATACATGATGCAACAGGCTCAACAAGACTTCTCATGAACACTCATCTCTACACTTCCTACAAAAAGATGCCAAGAAAAAGAGCAAGTTGTTGTAGGTGAACAATACGAGGAATGCCTGATATAATATGAGAGAATGCCAGAACAGAAGTAAAGTCTTATACCATTTGGATGAACTTGAAGTGGATGGCCATCAGCAACAAATGCAGCAGTGGATGCCTGGCACTGAGCAACTAAGTTATAATATCAATAAAGTTGGCAAAGCACAATCTAATACAACTTACTTGTAAAGCTGAGAAAGACTTCACGAGTTTGAGGATGAGGATTAGCAAGTGGAGCTAGGTTTGGCCCAACAAGAATGCTATTTCGTCCAGCTGCTGCATTTGCAAGCTTCATGGGCTGAAGAGCCAAACTAAAGCAAATCAGAAAACCTTTCAATGGATTAGAGAATGCTCACCTGGCTTGAATGTGATTGAGCCTCTGAACTAGAGCTGCATGGTTGTCAAGTGCAGTCTGGTGGTTGTCAGCCACTGTAGCAACAAGGGCAGCATGATTGTTGAGCACAGCCTGGTGGTTGGCATTGACTGTGATTGTGAGCTGACCAATTGTCAGGACAAGCTGTTGCAGCTGATGGCCAATGTTCATGACAGGAAGGTTGTCAAGCAGAGCAACTTGAGCACTAAGGTCCCTCAGGTTGTCTGCTGCGGCCGTCAATGATGCGCTCATGACAGCAGGGTTGGGTTGAGCGGCAGGTTCAGCCATGGTGATGGTGGTTCAGAGGCAAAAGAGGTGGGGTAATCAAACATCAACAACACCTTGATCATGAGTGATCTCCCCCACTCTAGGTTATCCTCGATCTGTTTCTCGCATCCCATCACTTATCACTGCCCAACACTCCCTCGCAAGCAAACGTTACCAACACTCAGCCGCTTGCCAGTGTGATTCTGGACACACTGCTGCATGTTGGCTCGTCACCCGCGCTGCATCTTTTCAAATTGTGCCAAGGGGTTCACACCATTGTGAAGATATTGAAGCGGGCAGGGACTCCTCGGGAAGTGCGGTGCATGGTCTGATGTGTTTACGCTGGCCTCTGAGCATTCTGAACACGACGGCAGCATGAAGTATCTAGAGTTCCTATAGTTCTATCTGCTGGACGAAACCAACACGTCTCCAGTTTCCGTGTTGCCTTCCATCGCCACGTTCAAGGCACCAATTGACTCGGCCCATCAACCCCGAGACCACTGCCTAGCCACCCATCCTCACACAAGCCTTTCATCAACGCGGTTCCCAGTCACCCTCCCTCCCAATATGGATTGTCCACCTACTCGCTCTTATCCAGATCCACAAGTTTTGATAGTTTGCTGTCGTCCGGTCCTTTTGAAATGGCAATGTCGTTGTTGTTGTCGCCTTCATCGGGATCCATGTTGGGAAGCTCTTTCTCCTCAACGACCTCAGCAGTGGGCTTTGTTTCTCCAAAGAAGCGATCTCAGCTCCTGCCCAGGGCTGGGTCCTCCACGCCGGGCCTGCCTTTGCTGAAAAGGCCCAGTTTGTCCCTGCCCTGCATGCCCGGGGCCAGGCCCAGCTGCCAAATGTGCTGCTCATGCTAAAGAAGGTGATGCCTTCGGAAGAGAGCAACGGCGACTTGGAATCGGGATTAGAGACAGCATGGGAGTTGAGCAGGAGTTCCTCTGTGCATAGACGTCGGAAAAGAAAAGGTGGTTGTGGGGCCCATGCTTGGGAATGTTGAGGCCCCATGTGGATGGTCTCGATCCATGCCTGCCATCAGTGGCACGTTCGACATGTTCACCGATGCGTTGAACAAGCACAGCAAGAACGGGATACGCTGCTCCAGCGTGTGGCCTGTCCACACCAGCACGCTGTTGGCGCTCGACAAGAAGAAGAAGACAAAGGCAAGGTTGAGCAGCGTCAGGTTTGCGCTGGAGCCTTGTACAAGCATGGTCACAATGAGCAGCAGGAGGTTGGCGACCATGGAGAAGAAGCTCAACGAGGACCAGACGACGAGCTCAGGCAAGTGCGCAGTGGGGACAGCAGGACTGGGCACAGCCATCCTCGCAGTCCTCTTGCTTAGGCAGAGAGGGGAGGTCGAGGAAGTGTGTCCCAACCCCTGGTTAAAAGGTGTCGCAGTGGGCGTCCCTGGGAAAACGTTTCTGACGTACAATGAGAGTCGTGCAGGGACACCGGACGACCGCACCGGTGGCGGGAGCGGCAAGAATATTGCTTGCAGAAAGCTTTCAAAATTGGAATAGCAAGTGAACCTCCTGTAAGCGAACTTTAAGGGCACCTAAATCTGAGACAGCCGATCTCAGGACCTAAACAAGTTCATGTGCCAAATAGTCACAACAATGGTCACATCAAGCAGTACCCTTTTCAAGTACCTCCCACCTCAAATACCTCCAGGCTTAGGGTAGAAGAAAGCTCCGTCCCATTAGTCATGCTGGTGCTAATTTACATTATTTGCAAAATTCATCTAAATGAAGCTCTTCCCGCGCCAGTATGCAATCCACCGCTTCGCGTCCTCTAAGTCTAAAGGCTTCAGGTCCCTGAAAGTCGGACTGTACTCTTGCGAGACGGCCGTCGCAAACTGAACGGCTCCCGTTCCCACCTCTGCCGACTGGAAGAACTCGATGAGCTTGATGCCAGGCTGTAAATCATGGTTTTAGAATCCAACGTCGGTCTCATCCGCAGAAACACTCACCACTCGCTCGAAGTCCTCTGCAGTCGCACCCACCGCGGCCTTCTTGAGCCGCTCAATCCACTCCGGAAATGTGATCAGCGGGAGATCGAGGTCGCCTGCGATCCCGGTCATGATTACATCCCACGCAACGGGCCGCGGGTGGACGAGGTTCATCGCACCGGGCGCCCGACCCCCGTACACCGCGACGTCAACGATGGCTTGAGACACGGCTTCCGGCGAGAGCCACGCCATCTGTCCTTTGGGCTCCAGTGGCAGGGCACCCAGCGCGATACTCGATTTGACGAGACTTGGAACCCAGTCGGTCGTGGACCACGCTCCCGTTTGGGACGAGCCGCAGATCTGCCCAATGCGGAAGGACGTAGAATCCAGCCCGGAGGCAGCGATGATCTTAGCATTGGATTAGTCCCAGATTCAAGAATCATCATCTTCCCAACACGCACCCGTTCAGCAACGTATTTGCCCTCCCCGTATCCCTGACCCAACGCGGAGGTCGGGTCAAGCTGCAGCTCCTCCGGAAACGGACCCAGTTTCGGATCCCAGCCGATAGCTGTCGCCACGGACGACGTGAATAGGAAGCGAACTCCAGTCTCCGAGGCAAGGGCGAGATCTATCAGGTTGCGCGTGCCCTTGATGTGGGGCTCGAACGACGCCAGCGACTTATTGAAGTCGAGACTCCAGGCGTTGTGGACGATCACACTGATTTCGTTTCGTAGCTGGATAACCGGTGAGTACTGCATTTCGAATTCAGACAGCGAACGATCCACTCACAGTCTCGAATGCAGACTCTTCGAGGTCCGCAGCAGTGCCCTCAAGGAAGACAAGCTTCTCAGAGTCAAGAAGCTTCGCATCCAGTCCACGCTCCAAAAACGCAGCGCTCTGTCGAGAGGCAGCAGTCGCACGCGCGCTGTGCCTGTTCAACACGTAGACGCGACGAATGGACGGGCTCTTGAGCAAAATCTCGAGCAGGTGCGACCCAAGACCACCCGTCGATCCAGTCAGCAGGACGACCTCACCGCCTTCCGGCCGAGTCTTAGCGCGCAACGTCCCGTTCAATCCGACCGAATACCTCGCGATCATCTGCTCGACAACAACCTTGGGATCCACAGCCTCCACCAGCGTCCCAGAAGCGAGTGCAGACAGAGCAGCTGCGAGCGACTCGATCGTCGGATGGGAATACACGATATCCTGCGAAATCTTCGGCGCAGCTGCCCTACAGCTTGGGTTGGACGACTTGCTCATCGCGCCGACGATGCGATGGCGGAGGAACGTCGCGTTGAGACTGTCAAAGCCCTGGTCGAAGATATCGCCGCCGGGGTGGATGTCCTTCTCGGCAAGCGATGAAGCGTGCACAGACAGCCAGGGAACGAGATCGGCAGCCGACCAACTGGCAGGAGGAGAGACGTCGTCCGCGGCACTAGTGCTGGCTTCGATTGTGTCGTACCTGACAGAAAGGTTAGAACTTTACGCGGATCCAAAGCTAGCTCAAGCTCACAGCGCATTGATATCAGCACGATACAAGGCGACGGTGGGCTTCTTGATCACGGTCCCTTTCGGGGTGCGGACGAACGGCTTTTCGCGAGAAGCCACGACAATCATCTCCTTGTAGATCCGGGCAAACGCAGGCGCACTCTCATTCGCTTTCTGCACTGTCTCCCTGTTTGAAAGCGAATCAGTGCTGCTGAACCAACTGCCGACCACGAACAGAGTGCGCACCAGATCAGGTTCCGGAACTTGGCAACCTCCGTAGGGTCTGTAATGTCCACCTTGGACGCCGCGCTCGGCTCAACCAGCACACCGACTTGATTCCTTTCGCGACCGAACATCACGGCCCCGGAAATATTCGGGTTAGAGAGCAGGATGTCTTCCATCGGGCCGGGGACTGTTTTCTCTCCGTTCGCCATGATCAGCACGTCATCCAGGCGCCCAACGATCCGGTAAAGGTCAGGTTTCGTGGGATGCCGTTCGAACAGATCTTTGGTCGAGTAGCCCTGGACGTCCGGGAGGTTCTCGACTGCCGGGTGGAGGCTGTCACAGCTCTGTAATTGGTGTGTCACACAGAGCGCTGGGGTGTGAACCGAGAATGACCCACCAGGAATTGAAGCTCGAACGTGTTAGCATCGTCCTGTGGAACCCATCGAAGCTGCACGGATTCTGAGAACTTAAACCAGGCCCAGTCTTTGGAATCCACGTCGTCACGGATGACATTCGGCAAGCCGACTGCAACTTGTGAGTATGGTGCGCAAGTCGTGGTCACAAAAGCCCGCTCACATTCCGTTGCCCCAAAGATGGGTATGACCTTTACACCTTGCTCGATGAGCTCGTCGCCTACCTCGAGCGTCAATGGTCCTCCACCGAACGCCTTTTTTGCGAAATCAGGCACGAAAAGCACCAAGGTCACCAGACTTACGACCATGTTCAAGCTCTTGAGATAATCCACCGCTTCCGGAGAACGTGCCCACTCCAGAATGAACGCAGGGACGGTCAGTATTCCATCGGCCCTTGTGATCTTCGCATTATGCAGAGCTAGATCGGACGTCGCGTTCGGTGGGACATGGTACTCGGTCGCCGTCGAAGCGGGAGGCAAGATACAGGCCGTGCCGTTGTTGAGCATCGGAATGAGGATCTGCGTGAAGCAACCCATCGCGTGGAATGGCGGGAGCGTACCGATCGCTAAGCGGGGTGCGTACGTTTTGATCTGGCCAAACGAACCTATCGGGGCGGGTTAGCTGAATCAACGCTTGGCTATGGAGGGTGGATACCTACCGAGGGCCGCTATCTCGATCAACAGGCGATGGGAAATACGGATTGGCTTGGGGAAGCCTGTGCTGCCACTGGAGTGCAAACAGAATGCGATATCGGTGACTGGTGGTATAGATTCGGGGACCGGGTACGGTGTGAATTCATCGGTCGCCGTCTCATGCCCGAGATGTGGATACAGCTGTCCCAGCGAAGGGATCTCCTCCACGGACAGTTTGTACTTGGGATCTTGCGTAGCGAGCTCGGATACGACACCGTCAATGAGCTTTTCTAAGGAAGCTCGTGTGGTCAGCACCCGATGGCAGTCCGTCGACTCTAGCAAGTGCGCGATAGCCGCAGCGGAGTTGCGGTGAGATATCGGAAAAGGCTAGAATGAATCCGAGCATGATGATGAGCGGATTGGCATGACACTGCGTGCGATCACTCACGACTAGCCCCGCTCTGATGCATCCGACGACGATTGCCTGATACACGAGAACATCCGCGAGAGCCACGATCGCCACAAATTGGCCTTTGCCCTTTGCAGGTGAAACCAGATGGGCAGCACGGTGGGCAGCGCGCGCGAATTCGAACTGGGTGATGTCGGTCGAGACTATCCCCGATGGATGATGTTCTTTGGCGAACGAGTAGGCGATGTTGTTTCTGGGGTTTTCCAGGTGGAGGTCGACGACCTGGGGGAGGATAAGAGAGCGGTCGACGGTATTGTTGGAAGTGGTGGAGGCAGGCATTCTAATGTGTTTTGTGTTGACGGTGGCTCTCAGTCCCGCTCTTTATAATCTCTCCGCCCTAGGCCTTCCGTCATCCGAACCAAACGTCCGGACCTGGCAATACCCTTCCAGCAAGATGTAAACTGCGCAGAAACGGTCCAAATGCGGCAGACAAAAGACAACTTCGCACGCAAGAAGACTGATGCATATGGTGTGCCATGACGTATGCAAGGCCATGTCCAGGGATTGACCACCACTCATAAGACGGGCCCGCTGGCGACGGACACGTCCGGGCATCGGATGGACATGTCACATACCCAACTTTTCCACGTCATTCGAGGTCGAAGTTTGATCTTCTCCCCAACGTTAGTTGTGGAGTGTTATTTATAGTGTTCCGGCACGGTGTTCCCGTATGTGATTATGGCACTTCATAGTAAGGCAGCCCTGGATATAACAAGAGTAGTGGTGTAAACGATTTCATTTTCAAATCACATTTACGTCTTGTGGCTCTCCGTACCGAGAATCCCTCTGCCCCTCCCACTCCGAAGACTGATAGGAATATTGCGTGATTTCTGGGATCAGAGATACCTCACCCGTTCGTCTACAAGGCTCCAGGGACTCCAGTTGACGACAATCTGACCGAGTGCTGGAATCATCACAGTCCGGAGATAATAATTAACCATCATCGGCAATGTCGATTGTGCGAGGTTATATTCCAACGTCGCAAAAACTGTCTTGCCAAGAGACATCATCCCTCAATGCGGCGAGTTGATATTCCTCTCAATTCTTTGCACTACACTGTTTCTTCTGCTTTGGAATCTGTCTAGTCAAATGATTAGCAGATTAGATGTGCGTGGCTTTTATCCTCGTGCCATCGAAGTAAAGCCTAAACATACCTTCTGCGACATTATATCTGACCGTCTTCAGAAATTGCTACCATCCTATTGCTTGAAAAACTACGAGAGTCCCTCGGGGAGCCTCGTGTACTTGCGCGCAATTGGCTGGTTGACAGGTTGAAATTATCTTGAGCTACGATGACACTCAGCAATCATTCTACTCAGTATTGATTCTATGAAAGCCAATATACAGTGGTGTCTCGATCCGTGGTGCATTCCTCGAAATTCCAAGTTATGAGTCTCCGAGCACCCGTGTAACGAGGGAGACTCCAGAGGGTTTTCCTGCAGCATTTGGGTCCGGTAGTCCGGTTTACTCTACGGATTTTCCGGACGGATTAAAGTATTTCCTGCGTCCAATCTAATATGTAGTGATTTTCTCACTTGGGCCGGATCTGGGGACATGCCTCTTTCGCGAGCCGTTTCAATCATGTGCGCTTCCGACGGCGGGGTTCTCATTCAGGCCGAAGATTGACCCCTCTGCACTATGTTTTAGCGAGCCTTGCACGCTGGACCCGGAGCGCTCGAGCTTTCCCAAGCGCTCATGATCTTCAAAGCTGAGGGAGAAGCAGTCATTTCGTCTCCGGCCTTGCTCGATTGTGGAATGATATCTATTTCATTGGCCGGAGATATATGATAACTTGACGCGATCTGCGGTCATGCGACACCCAGATGTGGTCACTCAAGGCTGTAATCCTACTAAATTCCGCATGCTGGCGGAATTGCGATGAGTAGCCGCAGATGTGACGGCGAAACCTCATGACGCTTCTGGCTGGTTCTGGCTACCCGAACTTAGCCGAGGGCTATGACGGCCTGGAGCGCTCGGCTAGCAGCGGGATTCAACACAGTCCAGACTTCGCACGTTGAAAGTCATCACTGATCAGAGAGAGCCATTGGATTCTTTTGGGCCTGATCGGACTCAAACATATCGGCCTGAACTTGGTCGTCGTTACATCAGTTTCATTCGGCCGAAATCGTCCGAGGAGGGACGATTACGGGTGTTCACTGCCTGATGCTGCGCCGATGCTGCTTTTGGGTCGTTCTGCTTTGTTGCTCTGTCCTTTATATTTGATTTGCGGTGCTTTGGTTCAGGGCAAAGAGTCCATGATCTCTGTAGTACTAATACACGAGCAGTAACATCTGCAAGGGCAAGTTGAATTTCCTGCCGCTACAAACTGCCGCTCCATTGTCACATTTCACCGCCTTCTGAGCCGCAGACACCGTTAGACGTGTTGAAGCGTGGGTATTATGTCGTGTTCGGCGTCAGTGCGAATGGGGTGGCGAGCGCTGCGGTCTTCTGTCAGCTAACAGGTCGGCGATGTAGACACGGATACAACACACCGTTTGTTGGTGACAACGGCCTGTCTGACTGCTCTTATCTCGAGTCACAGTCCACGATACAGGTTGCACAGGCTGCAGACAGATGAGTCAACCATCCAATCTAAAGACAAGATGACTGACCTTTCCTGGACCATGTATCGACGTTCAAAATTCGTGCCAAAGAGCTGTTCTCCATTGGCGACGTTCGATGGCGGTTTTGAGGCTGTGATATGGTAAGTGAAGTGAAATAACATGCCAATAAAGTTGGTCTCTTACCTGTCCCCCCCAACCGGGTATCCCATGACTGATCCCCAATCTCTCCAGCATCCTTCCTAGTGAAGATGCGCTCCCATCGTTGCCCTTCTCCGTTCCATCCATCGCCTACGCATTCACACCCTCGTCAACGCCATTCCTATCGAAGGCGCATCCAGACCGTTCCCTTCCCCTTCGAAAGACTCATCCACATTCGCGCCAATCCCCCATCCAAGACCCATCTGCATTCTCGCCGACGTCATTCCTGCCGAGGACGTATTCCGGCTGCACCATTCCTGTCGAAGATGCTCCCACCAATGGTATCCGCGACGATTCATCCCCTCCCGAAAAGACGCATCCGCATTCCCGCCCTTCTCCAATCCATCCCAAAGACTCATCCATATTCTCGCCAGCATCATCGTCCCTTCCAAAGACTCATCCGCATTCCCGCCTTCCTTCTGTCCCCCGTTCCCATAGACTCATCCACATTCTCGCCCTCCTCCAATCCATTCCAAAACTCATCAGCGTTCTCGCCTTCCGTTCCCCGTTCCCAAAGACTCATCCGCATTCCCCCCGTCCACACCAAAATCCAGCAAGTGCACGCACGCCCAACCGTCGTCAAGCGCCTGCTACTCTGCAGCTTCCGTCAGCCGCTGAGCACGGAAAAGCTAGCGAGGAAAGACCAACCGCCCATAGAAATACAAATGTGATGCAGGCCAAATCGGTCGGCCGAGAGTACAAATACACCTGTTGAGAAAGTCCAGTCAGGACTAGAACGAAGCGAGATCGATGAAACACACCGTAAAAATACACCGCCCATACAAATACAGATATGATACAACACCGGAGGTCGACTTCTGCACAACGTCCAGGTCAGCCACGCCCAGAGAAAGATCAACGGAAAGAGGCGTACCTCCAGGTGTAGTTCCGACACAATTACAATAAAAGAGCGGACATGGCCGAAGCCAAAAGTGGGTGAGGTTCCTAGAGATCTTATCAGCCCACCATCGCGGGAAGTACAGATGTCACTCACCCAATCGTGATCAGCGATGGAGAGTTGCGCGGGTGTCCGAGAGCGAGTTGCCAAGACCGAAAATAAAAGAGGCTAGGAGCAGAGAGCAGCTACAACCGGCCTAGAATGCAGATGGGTGCTGCGGACGTGCGAGAACCGGGATTGAGATGCCGCGGGCCTTGTCCAGAACGAAAGATGGCGGCAGAGGCAATTCCAAAGCGGTCGCAGCGGGTAAAAGAATGGACGCGTCCGGAAACGCTTGTCGGGTGCTGGGAGCGCCGAAGGCTGTCGGGTTCGGAGTGGCGTGCACCGAGTCATGCAATGAATGGACCATCGGACCGAACAACCAGGCGGCCAAAATTAATAGGAGAGGCAGCAGGATGGGGGGTGTCCGCCGCTGGGGTGCAAAAAGTCAGATCAGGGATAAGAGGAGGCGCCTAATGCAGGCTCACCTTTGTGGGAAACATAAGAAACCTATAGATAACCTCCTCCGCATTATATTTATACAACGACTGTTTGGGTTTCTCGTCAGCAACACGCATACCACCAGTCGAGTTTCAAGACTCACCTCATCTCCCAAGACATTAAACTCGTTCTTGTCATTATCGAAGGTAGTGGCCGACTGCAAGGGCAGCGGTGTCGAAGAAATTACGAAAGACTGCAGGCAAACAACAAGTCAGCAGTGCGTGATAGAGCTGCACGGAAAAGACGTACATTATGAGAAGCAAAACCAGGACCAAAAGCGTCATCTCGATGCCCTGACAGCGCGACTTGCGTGGAACTGCGTGCCGTGTGCTGTGCGTGTGAGGAGGCCCGAGGTGACGTATTATGTGTTGAAGCAGTTGTGGTATCGCCGAGAGAAATATCGAAGCCAGGAGGGACTATAGCGCACTATAGAGCTGATCAGTCTGCAATCGACCAAGACCGGTGCAAGGACCCACCTCCATGCTCCCAGAAAAGACATCAATTCCACATCCATCCTCCCCATTCAAACCCTCTCCACTCCTATCCTCATTAACCGACTAGCACCAGAAGATGAGAAAACCAAATCGAAACGCGCATCGATGAAGAAACACACCTCTTCCATTCCCAAAACCAGCATCTCCGCCACCAAATCCACCTCAACCACGGAGTCGTCCGTTACCGCTCCCAATCCATCCCCCTCGGGATCCAGATCCGCCTCGTGAAGAGCAGGCAAAAATGGCTGCAATGACGCGCTTTCGATGCTGGGCGTGTCTTGCAGTTGGGCTTCGACCACAGGCGGGGGCAGGTCGATGGCGAGATGGCCCAGTGATTCGGGCTTGGTTTCTAGAATCGCAATTGGCGGCGATGCAAATTCGTTTTCGACAGCCGTGACGACAGGTGGCGGTCGCCGTTGCCGTGTCGAGGTTGCCGTGGTCGAGGTTGTCGTGGTCGATGCCTTGGCCGGCTTGGTCTTCTTCGTCTTTCTCAATCCCTCCTCTATCATCACAGCCATTGGATCCCGCGGTCTTCGTGTCGAGCTTGAACGTGGCGGAGCGGCCCTAGTCGCAATGCTTCTTGTAGATGTAAACTGGCCCCGAGGTTTTGCTGGCTCGGACCTCGGTGCAGACGTAAACGCCGCAAACAGCTCGCGCTCCTCGTCGAAGATGAACACCAGATTTGCACGCGGCTGTCGCGCAGACGTGAGCAGACCGGATCATGAATCAAGAAAAGAACATACCGGCTGCAAGTTGGGAACCTCCCTCTCGTCAGTCTCGGCAGCTTGCCCTGATCCATCCTCCAAAGCGCCCAATGCGGGAACAGGAACATCCGGCGTCTCTAGAACTGGCACCGAAAGTATGTTTGCGTTGTAGAGTGGCAAGGCTGGATGAAAGATCAGAGGAACATCCCGTCCAGGAAGCGAATCTGCCTTGCCTTCAGGGACAGCCGTCGGTGACGAAAGATCATCTTGAACAGTCGACAGAGGGAGCGTGTCAACTGGAACGGTAGGCAGGTCGGAAGGTGCGCGTTTGCGTCGCTGCTGTGGCGGGTTTGCCTTCGTCGCACTCGTCTTCGTCGATGTCTTGTTGACCGATCTCGTCTTCTTCGTCTTCTCTTTCGCCAGTGCTTCCGAGATCAACACCGCCATGGGATCGCGGGGTCGCCGCGTCGATGACTTGCTTCCCCTTGTCGTCGAAGTCGTTGTCGTCGTCGTCCTTGGTTTTGCCTGGCCCCGGGATCTTGCGGGCTCCGACTTTGGTGCGGCCGTGAACGCCTCAAAGTACCCTTGCTCTTCTTCAAAGGCTACAATCGGATTCTGTTGTGCTGGGGTTGAGACTGCGGGCGCTGGAGAGTGAGCTTCCTGTGGCGCGAGCTGCAGTGAGACATTGTCAGCCGCCTCCCAATCCGCACGGTGGTGGAAAGCATACCGAGACGTTGCAGACAGGAGCCGGAACAGTCATCTTGACCAGTGAGTCTTCCATATCTTCGCCGGTGCTGGGTTTGTACGAAAGCGTGAGGAGAGCGCCGGGCGAGGGAAGCATCGAGACCGAGTTCTTGAGCAGGATCGGCGTTGAATCTAAGACGGTGACTTGTACGAGAAAAGCGATCATCCGGGTGCCGTCGAAGATGAAAACGGCGGCCATAGAGAACCGACCGGGCACGAAGCACCATAGGGTAATGACTGTGAGCCAGCGTGTTGAAGAGCTGACCCCGTTCGAGACAGAGGACACCTACATCGATGTGTGTCAGTGGGCAAAGGTAAGTGGGGGGCCAGAGGACATGCCTGAGATGAAGACCAGGGCACCAGGGGATGGTTGGCGCGGACGATGGGACCGACGACGGCAGCCTGAACGACCAAGGAGACGGGCCAGAGACAGACCAGAGACATGTCGAAGGTCTTGGGAAGAAGAACATCCGAGCGCATCTACACACATCAATCGGTGAGTGGACATCGGAAGCAAGACATCTGAGACATACCCAAACCGTGGGCGACTTGAGCATCATCACCCGTATACACTCCTCATGATTGTCTACATGATAGATGGCCTGAGGGAGCATTTGAGTACACTGTCCACCAATGCAGCGAGCGACTCACGCGTATAAGGGGGCGACAGATCCGGCCGACGAGACCGCAAGAGGAGCCGGAGCGTCGTCGGCAGTGAGCCAGGCCGAGGGCGAACGTAGGGACCGTCCCGGGAAAGCTTCTTGTTGCAGCTGGGCGGCCAGGGAACAGCGATGCCAGAGTTGCAGAGTTTGAGAACATTTCTTGTTGTTGTTGTTGTAGTGCTTGTAGTGGTTCAAGTTGAGTTGTATTCACGCCTGTCTCAATGGAACAGCCCCCATTTTATACACCGCGCGGAAGTCTCCTGATTCAGTGCGGAAAGCTGGTGTCCTTCCGCGCAAGCATGAGACGGATTCAGACATCCGATTCGACAGCTGGAAGGCAGTAGGTGATATCAGAGAGCGGAGACACGCATTGCGACCAAGTTTGCGACGAAGATACGCGGTAGACAAATCTTTGGATCGATAGACACCATGAGACGCAGGTAAAACCAATAGCGACGGATACAGTGACAGAAGCAGCTGTTGCTCGTCGGGCGATGTCCAATAGGGTCGTTCACAGTGCCCGATTTCGACCTGATTTCGCCTCGATTTCGAGCTGATTTCGACTTCGATTTCGTTTCGATTTCAGTTGCTAGCGTGACACGGCCTAGCGAAGCCGATCAACGATTTCGTCAATACATCAGTAGTCCATCAAATCATGATGGATCCAGATAATCTCGATAGATAGCTGTAATGATTGAAAACACATCTTTCGCCTTTCCTGCCTTTTTCTGCTCCATTGGCAATGCCAACGAAGTCGGATCGCACACATGCCGCAGAGGCCCTTCACCAGGCATTTCTGGTCAAAGCCATCGCGCGACTTGAAGCTGGAGCGAACAGTGCGAGAGACAAGTGTAGATCAAATCATCAGTCCGGCCGTGATCGGCATGTCCATTAGCGGTGTTACACTACTGTGACATAGGGTCCCTGGCAACTGAAATCGAAACGAAATCGAAGTCGAAATCAGCTCGAAATCGAGGCGAAATCACCTCGAAATCGGGCACTGTGAACGACCCTAATCACGAGCAGACAAAGGGTCACGTGTCGCACCTACTCACTCGCCCGTCTCCTACCTCATGGTTTTGCATAGCTGGTTGCCTAGAAAGACTCTCCGACTGTGGGTTTTTTTGTCGAAAGTCTTCGCCGGCTCCCAAAATTGCCAAGAACGTGCCAAGTTGTCCGAGAACTTTCTCTCTTGAGACGCAGCGGCCTTGAATGTTCCTTGCCTGTAGGCTGGTTCGAGACTGCGAGTGGTCGTTTTCCTCAGCAACTGCGTCCGTGTATGTGGGAGCTTCCACCTTCAAGGAAATTTCTCGACGCATCTCTCAGTGCTTCACAGGCGATTTGCTGAATCTCGCAATTGAAACACAACTCGAGCGCAGGGCGAGGTCCTGACTGCTCATGTCGCGGGACACGTTCACTTCGCCGTAGACGGGATGGAATGACCCGTTGGTACTCCTTCAACAGCCCATGCCTCCATATTCATGTCTGTTTGCATCTCAGCAAATATGGCCCAAGGACAGCCCATAAAAACAGTCCGCTCGCCGTCTTTTCCTCTCGTCGGATTCTTCCCTCACAATACCGGAGTATACGGAGGCTATTCGTGTCATTCTATACTCACCGACAAACAAATCGTCGACCAGCATGCACGTTCTTGATCTGGGTGTCGTTGAGCTCAATGCGCAAACTCTGTACAACCAGGAGAAAGTCGACCTCGAGACGCTCGACATGAAGAACGGCGTTTGGCCGTTAAATTCAACCTGGACCAGATCTGTCTCTTTGAACCGGACGTCGAGCGCCACTTCCAGATGTTTATGCCGAAGCCGATCGAGCAAGGTGACAAGCATCCAAGCTTGCGGTTCTGTAGTTCGCCCTGGCCATCGGGCTTCATCACGAACTCTCACAACAGCTCTCGTCCTTCTTGTGGAATTCTCTGTCCTGGATCGTGGAAGCCGTCACTTTCGTCGCGATTACGCTGTCGAACGATGGGGTACGCCCACACGACGGGTAGGACTTTTCGGCATCGCCCTCCTGATCATCAACTCGTCCATCGGGCTCTATGAGCAACACGGCTCAGGAAATGCGGCTAGAGTGCTCATCGACTCTGTTACGCCGAGAGCCAAAGCCAAGCGCTCTAGTGTCTGGCCCGTGATCGATCTCTCCCAGCTCGTTCCCGGCAATATCACTGCTTTCAAGATTGTGGATTCCGTTCCCGCGGATTTTCGATTGTCCGATGCCCACACTATCTCGATGGACTAGGCGGCTCCTACAGGAAACTTCCTATCGTCGTCCAAGAGATACGGTGATACTTGGTTTTCGTGGGTCGTGTTCTTGATCTCATATCTGCACACAAAGATCCAATTTATCGCAGTGGCTCGATCTGTAGACTCAGTGAAGCCAAGGGTCTTGTGATTGCCACCGAAAGATGCGGCGCACGACAATCTTGGTCGGAAAGGCAGCAGACGATTCCCCGGCCACCTGCAAATGATTCTGGCCTGGCTCGGCACGTTCTGCCTCGGCGTCATGGTCATCTTTGTCCTGCCCGGAGTCCTAATTCTGTACCCAGCTTTCCACTATAATTACCGACAAAGACTGAATAACATTCCCGTGCTCCACATCGGTATACAAGAGCTTATATCAGTCGCGAGAGGCAGATGGTGGTCCTGGCTGCTGCCTAGCCCTCTGTGGCAAAGCGCCGTCCTTCCGCCCACAATGCACTACGACTTGCGTGGCCTCATGCCACGGCATATTTGACTGCGATCTTCACGTTCTTGACATGGTTGGCCCAGCGAAGTTGCTATTTGGAGGTAACCGTCAGAGATGATTGTGAACAGTTGAAAGAGGCATTGCCTGTGCTCGTGCATACACAACAATGCAGTCGCCATGCCTCAGTTTCTGTACGAAACCTTCACCGTTACCGGCACCTGTGTCGAGCTGCGGGGATCCCACGGGCAATTCTTTTGAGCTCCAAATAACTGAGTGCTCTCGAATGTCACTAGAGGCGGAAAAGTTCTTTTGCAACAGCCAACGTGTCGCGTAGTGATGGTCGGTTACTGGGACCTCAAGGTCAGGTTCGTAATTCTTGTAAGATACTCGTCGGCGGTCATCTGGAAGGCGCAGGATGGCCGCTTCGAACCAGCTAAAGCCACGGTATGTACCTGTGATGGGGCATGAGGCCGTGAGGGACTGCTCTCGGAGCACTTGCATGACAGTACAGACCTCGCAGACTAGCATCATCACACCATCCCTGGTCCCGGCTCTTGGTCACAAACTCGACGCTTTCGATTCGCAGCGGAATCCCACCCTCAGCTATGACCTCATCCGCCGGCCTGCATCCGCGCAGAATGGGTTTCGACACGAGATAGACTTGGTGTTCGTCGTATCGCGGCGGGATCAATGCTTCAACCACCACTGGTTCTGCTCGCACGTCTTGTACGAGGGACAGATCGCTGAGATCGACGATGATGAGAACGATTTCCGGCGGGAGGAAGCGTAGGAGGGCTCGATATGCTGTGGTAATGCGGTCTAACATCACTGCTGTAAGAGTAAGAGATGACATAGACAGGCTTCTATGCGACTTACTGAAGAGTACAGTGCTTTTACTAGATCTAGGGTGAGGTTGGGAGGTAGCCAAAACACAGAAGAGGAAACCTGCTGCAGGACTGCTGGCTGATAGGCTTAAGTAAGGCAGAGAGTGTGGGAGTCCAGCACCCTCAGAAGGAAGTCCCTTTTCGAGCTCGAAAGTAGATATATTTTGTTCATTTTGGAAACAGTTGTCAGCAATACAAGCTAATAAGTCTTACGTTGGACGAGGGTCACTTCAGCATTGATCGGGTCAAACGCAGTGACAACGTTGTGCATGAACGTGTCCCCGAGAATGAAGATGTTGCCGTTGCCGGGCGCACCGCCGTCCTGCGTCCCAAGCAAGCAGGACGTCTCCGTCAGCGGCAGCAGTTGGTCCCGCCCGTCAATCGGGAACGTCACGCCGGCGAGCGTGACATGGAACTCGGGGACCGTGGTGTTGCAGTCCACGACGTATCCACCGACCGCGTCGCTGAATTGGGCCGGAGGGTTGAATGCATTCGCGTAAGCGTTTGCGACTGCGGTGGGGACGTAGTTCAGCGTCGTGCCCGAGTCGATGATCGTTGAGTTGCTCGCGGTGTCCAGGCCCGCCGATCCGGGGAACGTATACGATTCGACATCGACCGTGTACCACAGGTATGCGGCGTTCGAGCCGGACGAGGGCTCGCCGGTGGTGGTCGAGATACCCTGGATCGGGATCGTGACAGCCGTATCCTCGACAGGGACTTTGGCTGGGAGCCCGCCGAAGGCGAGGTATCCGAGGTTGGCGTCAAACGTGTCGTTGAGTTGCTGATCGAACGTTCCACGGTTCAAAGCCATCGCAAAGTCTGTGTACTTATTGAGTGGTGGGTGAAGGATCCAATCATCCCACTCACAGGGCTTGTGCACCTTCTTCTCCTTGTAAGCGGTGACGAAGAACGGATCGTAGGGCAGCTGATTCTTTCTGGACGCTTTGGTCGGGTCTGTCGTGTTGTATACACTGGTCAGCAGAGGGAATGCGAAGCCCTGAGTAGCTGTTAACGCGAATAAGACGCGACCAAGATGAAGGAACATACCATCAATCCCGAGTTGACACCGTCACCGTTCCAGGCAGCGAAATTGGGCACCCCGATCTCTTGTTTCTTGACCTTCATGCCAGCCACCTCCACGGTATCATATCCGACCGGGCCCGACAAAAACTCACCATCCCCATACGTGATGTTGAAACTCACACCAGGGAACGGCTTGAACGTCTTGGATGCGGAGACATCAAAGCCAGCCGATCCAAAGCTGCAAGTGGCCTCGGAGACCGGGTTACCCTGCAAATCGTGGCAGCTGAAGTTCTTCTGGACGACCCATGTATCGGAGCTGGCAAAGGTCGGTCAGGGAAACCCAAACGGTTCGCAGTGCGATTCGCGCGGCGCACCTCCCAGAATCTACGATCAAGGGAAACGTCTGCCCACCGATCGTGACGTCCGTAAGGTACTCCTCGTCGAAGTCAGAGCCATCCAAGTGCGCCGTCTTGGCCTTGTTGCCACCCCGTGCTGCCGTGAGCGATGCGCGCTTCGCGTCGCTCCGCTTCGTCTTCCCGCTGAACGGCGCGCTGTACTGTGCGACCGGGATAGCGCTAGCCGAGGTCCGGCGCGCCAGGGCACCCGAGCCGGGGTACGGTGCGACGTGGATGTTGGCCGAGGCGAGGGCCACCAGGGAGAGGAGGACGGAGACTGCGGCCATTCGTGGAAGGAATTCGCGACCAGAGAAGCTTCGAGTGTGCACGCTACATATGAGTCTGCGCCGGCGTGGATAAATATAGAAATCGGCGCACGCGATAGGGCTTGATGCGATGGATGAGGTCCATATGGACCCTGCACGCGCTACTTATCATATGCACAAGGACTTCGAGTTGACATGGAAACACCGTGTTGGCTTCAGAGGCGGGGCCGGCGTCACCTTCCGAACCCCGGCTCCTTGATTTTCGCTCTTCTTTGCCCCTTAGTCACGGTATGGCGTCTACGGAAGGGATGGACGATTGGGAAACAGAAGAAGACGATGGCATGCAACATGATCGCTGGTGGCATCTTATCGTATCTGATATCAACAAAGTGGCGTCTCGTAATCAGGCAAGTGCCATCAGTCCTTTAATAATAGCAGGCCCGGTGTAAGTACAAATTTAAAGTACATGCATGTACCTAGTATGTATCCACATACATTCATCAGACATCGAGTACAAAAGACTCGGGAAGGTCCGGGTTCTCAGCGAGATCGCGAAGAATACGTCTAGAGTTCAATCTGTGAGGGGCAACTGAGATCGGACCCTCTTCGCAGAATTCAAAGCTTCTTACATGCTCAGGAACGAGTTCACGTAACCTGCCCCACAACAGGTCAGCTGCGAGCCAAACGGCATACTCCGGGAGACAGGCTCACAGTTGCTGAGCAGGATGTAAGGAACGAGGAATGCACCACTTTGAGGGCACATCAAAAACTGCGATTTGAGGAATGAGGCTGAGGGACGAAGCAGGTAATCAGGGCGCACCAGTACAAAGAAAAAGGTAGCATCCACGCTGGTGCATTCGTCAATCCAGGATGGTTCGTCGTCGAGAAGGGAGAGCACAGACCTAGTCAAAAGCCCCACGTTGATCACCAAGGTCGTTAATGTCGTAAGTAGGGCACCCAATCTATCTCGTAAGTGCTTAGCTGCGAGAAGCTCGTCCAGATTCGCGCGACGCACTGGCACACATCATCCTCAGTCCCGGCCTCAGCCCCGATCCCACCCGTCTTAGTCGGAATTGACTCATTACTAGGACGCCCATCGAGCGGCGAGGAAGTCACCGACGGTCGTGGGATCTCCGTTGACGTACTCCCCCGCGCCTGCCCGTCTACTAACGACACCGAGACCGATCGTCGACGGAGAGTGAAGAATGCGAGAAGCCTGCCGCGCTTCATCCGATGGCGGTGGAACAGCCATACCTGCGAAGCGGCGATGAGGAGATCGCAGCTCAGAATGGAGGCGAGGATCATCCCGGCAGGAAGCTGCCCCGAAGAAATCGTAGTCAGACACCGGAGCACACGCTATACCGCCGACAGATGCGTACATCGTTGACCCGCGTCGCATCCCATCGCGGATTGCAGATTCTGGGGTGTAGATGATGAACATCCCTGTGCGACAGAAGCAATGGAAGAGTACGTACGTTCTCGCGGTCATAGCTATGAGGAACGCATTCCATTCAGCTGGCATCGCCACAAATGAAGCACACACCCATCGAGCTTCCTATCGTCAGGGCGGTCAACGAAGCACGAATCAGTAAAGGTGAAAAAGATACGCACCCAGAGACACGAACGAAAGAGCAAGCTGTGTCTTGTTGGCATCCCTGTGTGAGGCAAGACGACGGCGACGCACCACTAGAGTCGTTAGATAGGCATTACCGGCGCTCACTGGGAATCGAGGATTGAGAGTGTGAATGGACGAGGGGTAATCCGTAGACGTACGCCGCCATATACGATATGCATATATTCTGTGGAGCTCGTCAGAATGCGCCAATGCAGCGTGGATAGACTGACAACTGGACTAGAAACGCGATGGCAGACTGCAGGAAGAATTAGGTAAAGACTTGATTGCTGAACCAGGCACAGAGACACACCGTGACAACCATAGACGCCTCAAGAAGATCAGCGCATTCGCGGGAAGAGTTACGCGCCGCTCACGATGAAAGGGCTAGATATGCGGATGGGACGATGATCAAAAGACGTAGCGCGGCGGAACGCACCTGGACACGTCTCCGAGCATCGCAGAGTCCTCGTGAAAGCTGATCGCGTATCCATACAAAGAGGCGAACGCGAGCGAGACCTGGGTGGTATCTAACAGTCTACGCGTGCCTGAGCCTGAGAATGACGCAAGGGCAACGGATCTTCGCGTACAAGAGTAATGCGACCTTGAAAAGATCGGTGAGATATCTTGTCGCAACGACGAGACATACGATGAACTTCATGTGTCGTGGGTCGTTAGTGTAAGTTCGATAGTATGTCGATGCTTGATAGAGCGTCACCCCGTAGAATCTGTAAAGCGTCAGGATCCTGGCCGATTGTATTGAGGAGATGCACAGACATGGTCGTGAGCATTACACCGACGAACAGAGCCGACAGCGGCGCCTCCGCATGAACGCTCGTAGCCATAGACGAGAGGGAGGAGGGAATCCGAGGGTGGAGCGAAGAAAAGCAAGATAAATGAAGCTCATGTCAACATTCGAGCGAAGCGGCAAGCGGCAAGCGCGCCGAGTGCCACAACGTTCTGGGAAATGCAGCTTCCCGTGGGCGAAAGGTGGCGCACGCCAATCCGATTTCGGACATAGTGGACCTGGACCTGTCTGGACGTCCCCTTCTCAGCTCTCTGCCAATGACGCTCACATTCCATGAGATTGCACCGACATTTCATTACAACGACCATCGCAGGGCGACACAGACGTGACTAGAAGAGTCGGTGTCTCGAACTGCCAACATGAGTCCGATTTGAAGCTTGATCGTCGACGTCGTCCGAGACAGATTGTTTCGACAAGCCTCGCGCCAGGGCTCGCTTGCCACACCAATGCTTCGGCTCGATGCGCCCGCGAGGGAGTGGCGAACCGGGTCCGAATCTGACCATTACGCGTCAAGTCTTCAATCAATCACACTCTCAGTCCACAGCCCATGGGTATCTCAGCCGCATCCGTCTCCGCAGGACCGGTAGCCTACTCGTCGAGCCAAGTACGCCTCGAGGCAAAACGACTCGGAAATCGATACGGATGCGACAGTAGATAATGTCGAGCGCTGCCAACGTCTGACTGGGTGACACGCCTCATGTTTCCCGGTTCACTCGATGGGGAAGCCGAGACCTGCTGGACTGACGTGGAGGGTCGAGCGTGCCTGTCAGAATAGGAGACAAATCAAGGTGTAACTTATCGGGTGCTGTCCGCCGCGCAACACAGCGCCGCTCGCTCCAAGACATCGCCTCTGTCCCTGCGCTTCTTTGACTGAGCTTTCGAAATTTCCCAAGGCTCCCTGAGCTTGAGCGAATGAGTGAAGAGTCCGCCAGGGAAGCCTTTCATAACGCCAGAAATCTCGACGGGCGTCACTAACGGACAGCTGCCCGAAGGTTGCTATTGGTCGAAACCTTCCTGAGCTAACCAAGTACTATTGATCGCAACTGACAGGTGTTTCTGCACCATAGAGGTGTTTTCGGTCGTTAGCGCCATTTAATGCATGTATTGCCTTCGGGTTTTTTACAAATGATTCCTTATATACTCTCAAATGATTGTGCAAAGTCCGAGAGCAATTGGGCAAGTGCAAAGAATTCTCGGCGCTGCCGGCGCATCAAATGAGGTGTTCTCAAGCTCATCTCTGTAATTCCAAGCCTCCCGTTGGTCATTTCAGGCCGGGTAAAGATGAGCAATATATTATTAAGTATCTAAATCATATTCAATACACGCTTTGCTATTCCAGGCTTGCAATGGATGTGAGCGAGAGGAATTACATGTGTGGTCACAATTGTCACACTGACACAGTGATGACAGTGTGATGGCCAAACCGGCAATTGATCTTGTGCTCCCCGAGTTGCGTCGACACTCACAGAAGAAAGAATATAAGTGTGAAGTAGATACATTACATGTATTGACGACATGTGAGAGGTGCTAGACCCGGGTGGAAAGGTCCTTGAGCCATTACGAGCAGCAGAAGCGTAATTTGGTTTGTTGCCCAGTGCCAAGCGCTTGAGAACCGTTTCGCAGGCTGTTTTGATCTTCTTCTCGTCCGCATGGCCAGTGCGAGGCATGCGCAACTGATTAGAGACTCGAGGAAGCAAGTTTGTCGATGCGACGCCAGACACACATGGCTGTCAATCAACGCGTTTGATGCGCAGAGCTTGAATTGTCACGCTTTGGCTGATCACCCTTGCTCACATCCATTGCAAGCCCGGAATAGCAAAGCATGTATTGAATACGATTTAGATACTTAATAATATATTGCTCATCTTTACCCGGCCTGAAATGACCAACGGGAGGCTTGGAATGACAGAGATGAGCTTGAGAACACCTCATTTGATGCGCCGGCAGCGCCGAGCAATTCTTTGCACTTGCCCAATTGCTCTCGGACTTTGCACAATCATTTGAGAGTATATAAGGAATCATTTGTAAAAAACCCGAAGGCAATACATGCATTAAATGGCTCTAACGACCGAAAACACCTCAATGGTGCAAAAACACCTGTCAGTTGCGATCAATTGCCTTGCTTGTCAAGGCACTCTCCAGACCCTAAGGTATGCGGCATTTGATTCCAGCACGGGTGACTTGTTGATCAAATGATGATCTTATCATCTGCCAGATGGATGTCGTGATACACATCTTATGACTCCATCACGTGTCATCTAGAGTCATGTCGACTCGTCCTAAATAGACACAAATAGCCCCCTGTATTGTATATAAGGAGGGCTCTATTACCCTTTAATAACAAGTCTCTTGACTACTCCCGCATAGTGCCCACACTAAGCTCTCACTCACACAGGTGAGCTGCTAGACGCTCTCCCCAGTGCTCAACAGGTTATGGGCCCCGAGAGCTATGTCTGCGCCTCAATGGCCGCGACATTCATTGTATGCGCCGTCACTGGCTGCAACGATGAGCAGCGTCTTTAGCCTATCTGTATTCACTTTAGCTGCTGCACAGCGCTGGTGAAACCATGCCGGATCGCGATTACATCGCTTGATCCAGATGCATCGATCTCTCAAGGAGATTATGATCTATGAGAATCTGATCATCTTGATCTTTGATTTTATCTATCAGATTAGATTGATGCTGATTCACTCACACAGATCAATATGTCGTCCAACTCAAACAACATCTTCAATGCTGTCTCCATCTTTGATGGAAAGCACTGGCTCGTATGGTCCGGAACTATGGAGTCCTACCTGGAACATCAGGGGATCTCATATGTGCTGACCGAAACGGCGCCGACCGAAGTCAAAGCTACCGATGGCTCTGTGACCAACGCATCGGAGATCAAACAATGGAAGCATGATGATCTCAGAGCCAAAGGCAGCATTAAGTTGCGCCTGACTGAGGGAGTCATTGCTAACATTCCTCCTGCGGATATAGTGTCAGCTGCCAAGATCTGGGCGCATCTGAAGACCCAATACGGAGGTGCTCAGTGCGCCGACCTATATGCGTACTTCCAAACTGCGTTGAACGCCAAGTACAACGTGGGGTTGCACCCGGATCCACAGCTGCTGGTGATCACTACGGCGTTCGCTCGCCTGGAGAATGAGTCTTTGAGCATCCCTGAGTTCCTCAGAGCGATGATCATTCTCAACATAGCCCGGATTCCCTCCGTCACAGAGACTGTTCTCCAGACCTATGAAAAGGACGAGATCAAAGTCTCGGCGGTTCGTGACGCTCTCTTGACGCATTTCGCTCAGAAGCAGTCTCAAAGCCAGAATCATGTGGCCAAGTTCAATACCAAGCGCAAGCGCGATGACCCTTCGTTCACCAATCAGCAACAGGGCTCTGGCTCTGCACCCGATAAGGGTGATAAGGCTGATGGAAAGAAGAAGAACCGTCGAGGCAAGCGCAGTGGGAAGAACAAGGACAACAAGGGCAAGGGCAAGGCTGATCACAGTCATGTCCATGGAGTCTCCGAGATCACTGGCTCCCTCACTATTGGTTCGATCGCCTCGCTCACTCCGTCTATCCCTGCGCCGACGATCTCGCATGTCACGCACATCTCTCGCGATGGACCCAAAATCCGCGCGGTTCAAGAGAAGTCTCCCGTTAACAACAATGGGATGATTGACACCGAGTTCCAGAAGCCTACTCGTAAGGTCTTCGAGCTGGCCAAGAAGATGGATGTGACGGTGACCGCAGAACGCTTCCGGACTCTCGACAAGATCGTCAATGAGAAAGGAATGCTCCGCGAGGACGCAATTATGCGTTCTCCATCTCCGGTTGCTTCCGGCTCGAATCACACGCTGGATGATGGTCCTCCTGCCAAACGCAGTCGTATCGAGGAGATCCCCGACGTCGAGATGGCCACCGGCCAACAGAACGATCTTGATCTTCTGTTTGGAGATAGCGAGTTCGCCCAGGCTGAACCGGTCAATTGGGATGAGGTCGTCGACTTCAACACCCTTCTGGAGGAGATGGACGCTCCTTCCGCCGAAAGGCAAGTACCCTGCCTTCTTGGGCATATGCACAATTCTGATTGTTGCTCACAGCCAGAGCGCGTAATCACCGCCGCCCCGGGTTCTGTACTTAATTCGTTGATGATTCGTTCGCATGATTTTTGTACCAATCTATTCTGTGTGCACTCCGATTTTGCTGCCTGCTCTAAGTGTAAGGGGAAACATCATCATCATGAATTAGGGCCTCTATGGCTTCTTGATTCAGGTGCATCTCTCCATGTGACATCGGAGATTAGTGATCTGGTCGGATATGAGAAGCTCTCAGATCCTATTGTTGCTCAGACCGCTGATAAGAACACACGTGTTGCCCTTATTGGTCGAGGAACAGCCTTCATCGATCATTACGTCACAAGGCATGGAGAAAAGACAATGGTGACTTCTCAGATATATCCAGTGTACCTAGTGCCAGGATTACATGGTCGTCTCATGTCTTTGGGCTCCTTACTCAAAGGAGGATCTCGCGTTCGTGGAGACGAATCGCGGATCAGCTTACATCGAGGGAAGTCCCCACTCTCGATCATGGAGTTTAGAACTCTAGGGAAGGACATTGCATTGTACTTCCTGATGTCAAAGCCTAGTACGGCTGAGACAGTGCGATCCATGTCCACTGTTTACAAGGTGGATTATGAGATCATGCACCGGCGATTTGCACATCCGTCGAAAGACGTTTTACGTCAGGCAAAGAAGAATACCAAGGGCTTTCCAGAAGACCTAGTATTTCCCGAGGAAACCCGACCGTGTAAAGGATGCGCGCAAGGGAAAATGCACCAACGTGCCTTCCCGCCTTCCGAAAAACGAGCAGAGAATCCGTTTGATTTGATCCACTCGGATCTCAAACAATTTCCCACGGTGTCTTATCACAAGTACCGCTACTTCATGAGCTTCTTCGACGAAGCACTCTCCTATGGCTGGACAGTATGCCTTGCGCAGAAATCCGATGCCAAGCAGGCTATGCGCAATTTCATTGCGATGGTCAAGAACCAGTTCAATGTCACCATCAAAAAGTGGCATATTGACAATGGGGGAGAATTCATGGGGATGGGAATGGAAGAATTTCTCGCGGAACAAGGAATTCTAGTGGAGAAGGGTGCTCCATATGCTCACCAGCAGAATGGGCATGCCGAGCGCTTCAATCGTACGATCATGGATAAGGCAGAAGCCATGCGCTTCACTGCCTGTCTTCCTAATTCTTATTGGGAATTCGCTATCAAACATGCGACACGGATCTACAATATGACACCTATCAGGCATCTAAAATGGAAAACTCCATTTGAAGCTCTTCACAAGGAAAAACCGGATGTTTCCGAACTCCGAGTCTTTGGTTGCGCTGCATATGTCTTTATCCCTGATGAGAAGCGCGCCAACAAGTTATCGCCCAAATCGGAGCTGATGACCTACTTGGGCATTCCTGATGGTGTGAAAGGATTTTTGTTCATGCGCACAAACAATTCCACGTTCGTCGCCACCAAGGCATTGTTCAACGAGGAGTTGTTCCCCCGCTGTCCTGACAGCAATCGACCACCCCACGTTCCTGTTGGAGAGGAATTTCCAGAACGTGATGACCCAGTGAATCCACAAGATCCACCACAGGTAGACGGAGAAGATTGGCTATATGGAGATAATCCTTTTCCATTTCCCATGCCATCTGATCCGGCTCCACCACCTCCCGTACAGGGAAATGATGATGGTGACGACGGTCATAATCGTCAGGACCCACCGCCAGAGCGTCGGGATGAACCTCAGAGGACTCGTAGAAGTAGAATTCCACGACCAAGTCGGGAAGCTTCACCAGCTCCTGAGCCTCGAAGGTCTTCACGCCAGCGGAATGTGCCTACACGTCCAGGAAACGTCTATGGGGAAAAGCGTACCCCTACGGATATAGTCCGTGACATTCAGAACAGCAGAGGATGGAAGCGGTATGTTGGTGAAGATAAGGGTAGCTCCCAATCTCAACCATCAACCGGTGCTGATGCAGGGGTTCCCGGCCCTAGCTCGCAACCAGATTCCTCAAACGCGGGTGCTTCTGATGATCTAGACGAGGATGCACGCATGGAGAAGCTATGCCGGGAAGGGGGAGTAGAGCTCATCACGGCGCTGCTGTCAAAAGCGGTTCCAAATGAGAACCTACCTGATACGTCCAAAATTCGCGATTGGACATTCCGCGATATCAAGCGGTTGCCTTCTGAACAACAGAAAGGTTGGATTGATGCTTGCCGCGACGAGTTAGAGGCACTTCGTCAGCGCAAGGTCTATTCCCTTGTGGACCGCCCGAAAGGACGGAAGGTTATCAGATGTCGCTGGGTCTTTGACCAAAAATCTGATGGCCGAAAACGTGCCCGCCTAGTTGCCAAGGGTTTCAGTCAAATCGAAGGAGTTGACTATGACGAGATATTCTCTCCTGTTGTCAGGTATGAGACGTTCCGGTTGGTCATGGCGCTTGCAGCGCTCAATGATTGGCATTGGTCTGGACTCGACGTCAGTAAGGCTTTTCTCTACGGAGAACTTGACGAAGAGGTCTACATGGAACAACCCGAAGGCTTTGTGGCGAGAGGCCAAGAGCGCAAAGTCATGCGCTTACACAAGGCAATCTATGGACTAAAACAAGCTGCTTTAGCATGGTGGAAAGCGCTGACCAAGTTCACAAAAGCCATGGGCTGGATCCGACTAACATCGGATGCCGGTGTGTTCTTCTACAAGGACTCTGATGGCAGCATAGCCGTCATAATAGTCTATGTGGATGATGCTCTGTTCTTCTCCAAGAACAAGAAGCTCCTCGCCTTTCTCAAGGCTGAGTTCAACAAGCGATGGGAATGCCGCAATTCTGAAGATACTCCAGAGTTCTTGCGCGTGCGCCTCAGTAGAGTAGGATCTTCGATCAAGATTGATCAGATTCCTTATCTCGACAAGGTGCTAGAGCGCTTTGGGATGCAGAACGCCAAGTTCGCAGCGACCCCTCTACCGGCTGGATATGTTCCAATGCCAAATGAGGATGAAGTCGATCCAGAGCTCAGGAAGAAATTCCAATCAGTCATTGGATCTCTTCTCTTCATCATGCTAGGCACACGTCCTGATATTGCATTTGCTGTGACCAAATTGTCACAATTTGCCGCCAATCCGTCCCAAGACCACCTCCATAAAGCACTGTATATCTGCCGCTATTTGGCTGGTACTAGGAATTATTCGCTCATTTTCAATGGTGCGACGGATAGAGGGCTAATTGCATTTAGCGATTCAGACTGGGCTGCTGATCCGATCAAGAGGAGGTCTACCACTGGTTTCTTCACGAAATTGGCAGACGGGATTATTTGCTGGCAGTCTAGGCTTCAGCGCACTGTCGCGCAGTCTTCGACCGAAGCAGAATACATGGCGATTTCAGATTGTAGTCGCCAGGTGATGTGGCTGAAGAGCGTCCTTTCGGAACTCCAGTTCAAACTCACCATCCCAGTACCCATTTGCGGTGACAATCAGGGTGCACTCTTCAGTGGCAGCAATGCCTACCGAGACCGCAGGATGAAACACATAGACATCCGCTATCACTACATTCGTGAGCGAGTCGAGGAAGAAGAGGTTGAACTGTTCTTTATTCCGGGCAGTGAGAATCCTGCAGATATGTTCACCAAGAACCTAGGACGCGTCAAGTTCGAGAAGTTCAGGTCCCAACTAGGACTTGAGTTCAACTCGTCCTGAAGGAATGGCCAATGAAGATTTCGCTTTCAAACACTATCCCGTGGTTTTCAGCGTGGGGGAGTATTGATCAAATGATGATCTTATCGTCTGCCAGATGGATGTCGTGATACACATCTATGACTCCATCACGTGTCATCTAGAGTCATGTCGACTCGTCCTAAATAGACACAAATAGCCCCCTGTATTGTATATAAGGAGGGCTCTATTACCCTATAATCTAAGTCTCTTGACTACTCCCGCATAGTGCCCACACTAAGCTCTCACTCACACAGGTGAGCTGCTAGACGCTCTCCCCAGTGCTCAACATGACTAAGCATCACACAATCACAACGTGTGACCAAACGGCGACGGAGAATCACAACAGCCACAAGAAAAAAATAAGGAATCTACTCACACAGAGTGTTCTAGGAGAGCCTTAGGATACTTTCTCTGCAAGCAGAATTTCAATATCTATCCTGCAGGCAGCATGATCTTGGGCTGGCATATTTCCCATCAAAAAGTTCCTCTTGTTGTATAACATGTTTTCGCACCGAATGCAGCATTTTCCATTTTTCGGGTCCAAAATTTGACCCCATCACGTGACATCCCAATAAGGAAGTGGCAGTGCTTCAGGCTACAACTACCTACGGTGGGCTGGGCATGGCTTTTGACTGTTGCATATGGTGTTTTAGAGCACATATGTACCACTAGACACCCATCCAGAAGCTCATAAGGTCCAAAAAGTGAAGTTGGTTTCTGCGACCTCCGAGATTTGACCCTGTGACCGTGACAGTCACTGCTTAGTCACCCGTGCTGGAATCAAATGCCGCATTGCCTTGCTTGTCAAGGCACTCTCCAGACCCTATATTCCACGAATCAGATGCAATAGTTCCGTATGCTGATCCGATCATTCGCATATGCGAAATACACTGCCGCTTCATGTAATTGTTCCAGAATCTGATCCGATCTGATTGTGCTTACTCTTGTAAGTATGTACGCATGCGTCCGCCGTGCTTTCATTTCCGCTGTGCGCTCTTTGGCGTGAGTCCGGCACAACACCGTGGTAGGTTGTTCCAAGCCACGTCGTCAAGTACATTCCATGGGAAGGCTGGTTTATGTATACAGGGACGTTTCTTTCGTACGTGCATTGGCTATCTGCTCCTTTCTGTTCATTCTACCTGTACATTCTCGCTCTTACCTCTTGATTTGAAATCAACCATAGCGTACCGTAATCGAGTAGCAAGGCATGATGTCGGCGGAGCCGACACTTTCTAGTAGTAACTGCTATGCGACTGACTAAGTTGATGGCATCAGTGCTACTGAACGTTCGGCATCCAAAACTAGAAAGTGTTGGCTCCGCCAACATCATGCCTTGCTCACCGATTCAATCCATATAATCCAATTGATACACAATAAAACAAATAAAATACCAGTGCAGCTGTAACTAAGTGCCAGACGCTCTCATCTTCTTCCTCTTTGGGCTCTTGTCCAGGTCAGGCACCACCAGCAGAGACTAGATGAGGCAAGACAACATCATGCGGTGTAAGCGCTTGTGTTTGCAGTGGTGGAATGTGGAGCAGTGTGGTTAGAGAGTGACATGAATGGAAACAAAAACAGCCCACAGGTGGGTGCTCAAAAGAGAGTCATCATTGTGCATGGAACTATAAATTACACTGTTTTGAATGCCAGCCATGGTGGGGAGCGTATGAAAAGAAGAGTAAAGAGTGAATGAGAGCACAACAGACGCGTACACACATAGAAGGGGAAGCATCATTGGTAACGTGACCTGATCGGATCAAGATACGGAACTATTGCATCTGATTTGTAGAATATAGGGTCTGGAGAGTGCCTTGACAAGCAAGGCAACAAGAACTATCTCGGGTTTTAGATAAGTTATGGTTACGTGTCAATGTCAAGACCCAGAGTTTGAATGAAACTGAAAAAAAAACACTTGGATTAGACTTATTCTATGCTGTGAAGAACCGACTTATCAGACTCAAATGACAAATCGCAAAGTTACAACGAGCGATTCGAGTCTGGCTGGTGATCAAGAAGATGAAGACAAAAAAAAGAGCGCGTTCAGGTAGGTCAGATTATCTGGAGGCTAAAACAGAAATAAGCGGCTAATATCAATGACTCAGATCATGCAAATATTGGTCCAATCGACGAGAAGCGTACAATCCTCGAGCAGACCTGAGAGCATTTCACAGAAACAACGAGATGGTCAGACGTTGGATCTGAGTGATCTCCAGAGCTGAAGGCTCAAGAACCAAAAGGGGTCCGCAAGGGAAGTGCTCCCACAAATAGGACTGTCATCAGGGTACCTCTTTTCATGTGGACTTGTGCAGACGCTTCTTCTGATGGGTGCGGATCATTTCCTCGATACCCACATCCCGCAACATTTCGTGAGAACTGAATTAGAAAAACTTCAACAGGCTCGATCCGGCCTGAGGCCTCGCCCGTGATCACATATTCTCTGAGTCGAGAGCGAGTTGCGCGTGCACATCGCAAGCGATTTCCCGCTGAACAGTCACGAGCTTCAGCCGGGATCCACCAAGCCCGACACTCTCGCATTTGCAAGACTTACAATCGTTCAAGTTTATGCGAACGAAGAATTCGTCGCGCTTAAACAAGCTTCGTACGACTTAGTCCTCATCTACGTGACAGAAGGCAGTGCTTACTACGATTCCGA